CATACCCTGGAACCGAAATAAATCCTTTTTTAAGGTATTTGGTCTTAGTGATGAGAAAAGTAACTCACATAGGCACCGAGAAGGGAAGCTCATACACACCTTAGCTGCACTTCCTACAAACATCGCACCAGAATCCAACCTTGCTAAAGCAGTCCCCTGCCTGCCGGCATGTCCACACAGGGACAGGAAGTGGAATGTGGTTGAGTTCACATCTTGGGGTTCACTAGAGAATTAGGGTTTAAGTTCTGACAATGTGCAATCCAAATCTGAAGTTTCCCCAGAAAGGCAGTTTCCGTAAGCCTCTACCTTCGGGCTCTGAATGTGCCCTTCAGTTAAATTATAAATGTTTTCACACCAGTGACCAGTGTACAACTCCATAAATAGAGTCACAAAGAGGCAGCAAGCTGAAATACATCCGCAATTTTACAGCAGCTCCCCCACCACATACATCCTTTGTGGCATTAACTGCATCATTGCAGGCTGCTTTGGGGCTCCATATTTGTGAGTCACAAATAACATTAACATAAAATCTGTGCTTGTATTTTTGCTCTTTGTCATTTCAGAAAATTGACCACCCCACATCATGTCTCATTAAACTTGGTTTAAGGCTATGGAAAGCCACCTGTCCCTTTGTGCCCACAAAGCCTAACCTCACAATGAAGACTCAAAGTGACAAAGCCAACTGTACAGGGCAGTCTGCACAGTGCAAGTCTGTAACACAAAGAAGCACCATCAGCAGTCTGGGATTTGGTGGTTAGAACATTCTGATTTCTCAAGTCACACCTCAGCGGAGGTGAATCCCCAGTGCAACTGGGCATAAGAACCTTATCAGATGGACCTGAATAAGGCTACGGCCTTTGCTCCTTGTCCAAGGAACATCCCGAAATTAATGTCTTTCATACAGAACCTTCCTAGCATTTGAAAGGAGACAAGGCTGCACCTCTGTAGGCAACCAGTGTCGTATTCACCAAACCAAGTGCTTGCTATTCACCGCGCATTGTGTGTGTGTGTGTGTGTGTGTGTGTGTGTGTGTGTAAGATGCCAAATTTCTTTCTTCCTTCTTTTCTCCCTTTGCAGTACTGGTGACTGAGCCTAGAGCCCTGCACATACTAAGGAAGAATCTACCACTCAACTAGCTATATCCCCAACCCAAATCAATAATTTTTTTGCAATACTGGGACTGTGGACTCAGTGCCCCATGCCTGATAGGCAAGTGCTGTACACTGAGCTACAATCCTAGTCCTTGCTGTTTGCTTGCTTGCTTGGTTTTGCCATGAATTGAACCTAGGCTTCATTAACGTTGCACAAACAATTGGTTTTGTTTTGCACATCTGAGAGCTTTGCATATGGGAGGCAAGCACTCCGTCACTAAGCTCTGCCACCATCTCATAATTTGATTTACTGACGATTCACACTAGAAGCAGGAAATGCACGAAGAGTCCCTGGAGAACAGTGCCTTCCAGTCACACATTCCCTTCTCCTGGACTTTCCTGTCTATCAGAGCAGTCCTAAGAACAGACGGTAGTTCCTTCTATGCCCCAGAAACTTATTCACTACCAGTGAGTTAATGGAAATAAAGCTGGAGTCAGTCAAAACCTTTGGGAAGAAGACTGTGAAGAAGTCTGTGAAGAAGACTGTGGGTAAAAATAAGTCAGATTGGGGCTGGAGAGATGGCTTAGCCTCAAGTGGGTATAATCTGGAAGTCTTAACAGTACTGAAGAGTGATGGTGATAACTCAGTTTCCTCTTAGCATTACCTAGATGGATCCAACAACTGACAGCGAAGCACAGATTCCAATTCAACAGCCCCTCTCTACCCTGCATTAGTGAGCCTGTGCATCTTGGACAAGCATATTCAAGTCCCAGATGAGGCCCTGGGGTAGGCTGACTTCCCTAGAAGCAGCTCTTGAGTCAGAGACTCCCTTGCAAGTGTATGAGAGTAGTTTTGCTCTCAGGACAGGACAAGGGTAAGAGTGCAGCAAAACCGTGGTTCTGCCCCACGGAGTCAAGCCAGCTTGAGGCAGGGGCGGCAGCTGGATCCTGACCAGCAGTTAGGGAGAGTGCTAAAGCCAGGGCCAGGAGAGCAATGGGACACCATGAATGCCACCATGGTAGCTCTCCTGGTGGCACCAAATCTACAGGTGCCAGACAAGGTGATAAGAAATACAGCTCTCATTCTATCCCTCACCACCAAGAGGTCATGGGCCTCTCAGTTTCTTCATCTGTGAAATGGGAAGAAGGAATAGTGGAATGGATCAAATCATGCCCATTGCCCCACTGTGAAGACCAGTAATTTCAATGGGGGACTGGTGGGAGTTTCCCTGAGGAGTCCTGATGTTACCTCCCTTCACAGAGGGTTTAATACATGTGGCTGTATCCCTGAGCAACCACTCCATTAACCCTCCTCTCTTGCCAAGATACAGGCAACTCTAAGACGATCAGCAAATAAAGATGTCCTAAGGCTCCCATTCTAGCAGGGACATGGTGCTTTCTTTCACTGTTGGTTACTTCAGGAAGTCAATGTGATCAGCCGACCTCATTTAACTGACTATGGCCTCAAAGTGCATTAGCGGCACGGGACTGGGTGAGGTGCCAGGGGAAGAGGGAGAGGGCATGCTGTCCCCACAACACTGTAGCCTCTGTGGAGGCCAGCTTGGCAAACTTGATCAAATGTATGCATACATTTAAGCTGTGACCACGCACTTGCCTGTGTTAGAATTTATCCTGCAGAAATGTGTGCAGCGGCATCTATATGAATGTACCACTGGGCCACCTTCCCTAAAATAATCAGAGTGGAAACATGTCAGTGGTTCATCAGTAAAGGACTGGTTAAAAAGTAACTATGGTACCAACCGCATTATAGAACACTCTATACTGAGGGAACATTCTATATTGATACAGAAATTTCTCCTGGGCTGGAGAGATGGCTCAGCAGTTAAGAGCATTGATTGTTCTTGTAGAAGACCCGAGTTTGAATCCCAGAACCCACATGGCACCTAACAACCATCTGTAACTCCAGTTCCAGGGGATCCGACAGCCTCTTCTGACCTCCTCAGGCATTGCATGACATGAGAGCACTTACATGCCTACAGGCAGTACACTCATACACGTAAAAAATTTTTTTTAATAATTTTTTGTCTTTTTGAGACAGGGCCTCTCTGTAGCTCTAGCTGTCCTGGAACTCACTATGTAGACCAGGCTGTCCTTAACTCACAGAGATCCACCCGCCTCTGCCTCCTGATTGCTGGGATTAAAGGCATGCACCACCATGCCTGGCCAAAATAAATAATAAATTTTTTAAAAAGAAATTTCTCCAGAATATACTGATAAGTAGGAATTGGAAGCCTACCATATTACAGAACAGTTTTATATCATAAGCACACATATGTGTAAGAAATGCAGGTCATGAGGATAGATGATAGATAGATAGATAGATAGATAGATAGATAGATAGATAGATAGATTTAAATTCAAGTGTATCTTTGGATAGCTGGAAGTCATTCTTCATGTACCTAGAAAGAAATTTGTACACGTGATGTTCTAATTCCATTTCTGTTGCTGTGATAAAACACCCTGACCAACAGCAACCTAGGTGAGTGTTTCAGTTTGTTTCTCCATTGCCAAAACACTCAGACCACTACCAACTTGGGGGAGGAAAGGGTTTATTTGTCTTATGCCTCCCAGGTCACAGTTCATCAGGGAAGGAAAGGTACGGCTGCTCACTGGCTTGCTTCTCTGCCCCAGCTCAACCTGCTTTCTTATACAACACAGGCCCACCCGCCCAGGGGTGGCACCACCCACAGTGGGCTGGGCCCTCCCACATCACTCAGTAATCAAGAAGATGCTCCACAGACATGGCCACATGTCAGTCCAATGGAGGCAATTCCCCAGTTGAGGCTCCCTCAGCCCAGGTGTGTCAAGTTGACACTAAAGCTACCCAGCACAGGGAGGAAAGGGTTTCTCCAGCTCCTAGTTCCAAGCTATAGTCAGTCACTGAAGGAAGTTGAGTCGGGAACCAAGCAGCTGGTCACATCCACAGTCAAGAGCAGAGAGATGCGTGAGTGCCACATGCTGCTCTCTTGCTTTTTAGGTACCAATCTTCGCACATACAGTTCAGGGCTCAGTCGAGGAACAGTGCTGCCCACAGTAGGCTCGGTCCTCCTCCATCAATTAAGGATCAAGACAACCTCCACAGACATGTCCACAAACCAACCTCATCTAGAAATCCTCATTAAGACTCTCTTCCCAAACTGATAGTGAAAATGGACCAGCACTGTGGTTACCTGTAAAGGGTGAGGGAATGGGAAGTAGAACAAATGAAGATGTGGGTAGCAATCAGGATTCCCATCAAGTAACTTCCTGAACAAATATTTTTCCCAAACACCATGGGCTACTCTGTAAGGAAAACAATCATCTAGCTAAAAGTAAAAGAAGAATTTTAAAGATTAGTATCAGAAAAAAAAAAAATGAACACTGAGTTTTCCTAGTTTACCGCTTTGCTTTGAGAACTGACAGATTGGGGCCAGTGATGTTAGTTTTAGCAGAGAGAATGTGGCTCACTAGACCTAAAATATTTGCTACCTGACCCTTTACTGCAAAAGTTTGCCAACAACAGATTTGAACTATGGATTGTTTCATGGAACCGCTGTGGCTACATCTAGCCATCAGTTTCAGACATTGAAGGATTATGTCTTCTTAAAGTCTGCTTTTCTGCCACAGATGGTTTATCTAACAAGAGCATGAGGCCAGCTACTGCCCCAGTTACCAGCAGATCAGGGATTCTGGGGGCACGCAGCCCAGGTTCACACTTGAGTTCTGTCCTTTCCCACTGTGTGACCTTCAACAGTGTCACTTGTGGAATTCTGTTTCTTCATCTATAGCACTGTTTGGAAGTTCCTCCCTTAATGGGGTTGTTTCAAAGGTTAAGTATTTAATGTTAGTGAGGAGCTTAAATAATACCTACTGATATTACCATCTAATATTGTGACTTTTTTTAAACAGGGTGATGACCAGCTAAATGTATTTGGGGACGATAACATGGGAGGTAAGTCTCCTTTACTAATCAGACCTTTGAATATGCCTTTAAACACCGACTAAGCAGACTCAAAAACAATGTGTACCTCCCCACAGCCAGGGAACACGAGCTAGAATGGAAATCTATGAATCTCCCCTCTTCGTCCACATGAGGAAGCAGAGATTCATTACTAAGAGATGTATTCCATAACTGCCCAGAGAAGATGGCTCCCAAGATACTCAATGAAAAGCGATGCTCTGATCAAATGTTGGGGAACCCTTAGTGTTCCATCCCTACTGGAAGGTTCGTAGATGTTATAGAGTAGCAAGACTCCCACAGTAAAGAGCAGTGTTGTTGTTTAATTCAACCATTCTGCAAACTTTACTGGAACACAAAAACTTGCGGTGATTGTATCATAGGCAATGAGGTTTATCTGAGGTGCGCTACTATTAACTGGAGTGGAAAACAGGGCTTCTTTCCCAAACGCTCGTTACTGTACTGCGGTGTCCCTTTGGAACCCAACAAAATGCACACCAAGGTAACACTTCTTTGTCATTTTTAGCATGTTAACAGTTTCTCACAGGGGACGAGGATACAGTTCAGTTGGGAAAGTGCTTGTGTAGCATGCATGAGGTCCTGGGTTTGATCCCAGCACTTCACAAACTGGGTGTAGTGGTGCAAACCTATAAACCCAGTATGCAGAAGGATTAGGGATTCAAGATCATTCTCAGCTATGTAGTGAATTTGAGGCTAGCCTGGGCTACATGAGACCCTATCTCAAGAAAACAGTTGCTCCAAAACTAAAATATCCGCTCTGTATTAGCTGCATGTGGAGCTGAAAATAGATAGCATGATGTGAAGTTAATATTGTTCATAAAGATAAACTTCATAATTACGTGGGTTAAATAACTTCTATTATTGCCACTTTGTGAAAAAATTATGGTTTGTGAAAACAGGTTTATAGTATTGACTGTAAACTCACACAAGTAAATGATTTGGATTTTCAAATAACCCCATTCTAATTCTTCACTGATCCGTGAGGAGGTAAATAAAGTCCTATTCAATGAGAATAGAAACAGCAACACATGAGCATCACGGTCCCCAAATGGCATGGTGGTGATCCAAGTGGAGAGCACAGAAACACGAGCCATAACATAGCCATCACTCAGCCGCCGCATGCCAGCTCTGTCTCAGCTGGATGTGGGAGGAATTGCTGTTGAATGAATTTTCCTTTATTCTTGGTTATAAAATCAACACATCCTCACTGTGGAAATACTTTGAGGTAGAAAATGAAACCATCTGACATGTGACCTGTGCACACCCACATTCTCACACATCTCACTTGACTGTGTTCTCTGTACACTTATTTCTACACAGTTGGGAGGGAATATGTGTGTACATACAAATATCATCCCAGTTGTGCATATTGTAATGTAAACATGCTCCCAGATCACTAAAATTCTCTGTACATCTTAGCAATGACTACATTGTATGAACATTTGATTAACTAAAAAATTACTATTTTTTTAAAACTGAAATAGGCTATAACCATACAACCTCTCCTCAAAATGGGGAAAACTAGCCTGTCCAAGGATGGCACTGGTCTGGTCATAGTCTCTGGTCCCCCCAGGGCCTGCTTCCTAAGCACTTCGGCATGCTTGTTTACTTAGAGTGACCCTCTGGATTGGAACAGTACCTGTCCAAGAGGCTTAAAAAGACTCCAGCACAACCATATAGAATCCCAAACTAACCTGTAGCTACAGTCTTCTCCACCCCCAAACCCCAAAACTGCATCTGGGGCAAGGGCACGGCCTGCCAGGGCACAGCTGAGAGGCAGCATGATCACTCTCACCTTTGTTTGACTCAAGCGCATAAATAGGCTAAATTTTGTGAATAAAACTTATTTGCTGGCTGTAGTGGCACACGCCTTTATAGTTCCAGCACTCAGGAGGCAGAGGCAGGTGGATCTCTGTGAGATCAAAGCCACCTGGGGCTACAAAGAGACCCTGTCTTAAAGAGACCAAAATAAACATACATACATACATACATACACACATAAATAGAAAACCAGCATCTGGATGAGTGCCCCTCTAATCACTAATCCTACTGATGGGGCAGCAGAAACAGGCAGATCCTGGATGATCCTGGCCAGCCAGTTTAGTCTGTCAGTGAAAGACCCTGTCTCAAAAGATATGGTAGAAAGCAACTGAGGAAGACACCGAACATCCACCTCTGGCCTCCACGCACAGACGCACAAACATTCATATACACTTCACACACAGCGAAGAAAAAAAAAAAGAACAA